TGAAATATTGGTTTTAGTTTATTTAAATTAATTTTTTTTTTTTTTTTTTTTTTATCACTAAAGTTTAATTCACAAGCCTGTCTTAGCTCCCGTCCTAAAAAGCGAAATAGTTTTAACTAAACTAAAGTACTAAGATCACCGTGAAGATCAGGTAACTCTCCTCCTCTACAGCCGTGCAGAAAACTCCAATCACAGCGGCTCACCAATGCAGTTGTCCTCCTCCTGTGTCCCCTGGGCTCGTGCAGACCACAGAGGAGGGCGCTAATGACTTTACTAATGATACTTACACACAGTAAGCTGCAGCATCCTGTCTGAATTCTCTCTTTCGCTCCAGGATCATTTCAATATTTGATTGAACCGAATGCGCTGGTTGCACCTCTTATTTTCTGTGTTATTGTCTCTGTTCAAACCTCTTCTCTTCCTCCCAACATCCTCTCCTCATCCGTTCTTTCTCCAGCTCTAAATCTCCGAGGTCTCGCTCCACGGCGGAGCAGCTGTGTATACAGTATGTGAAGTGGTGTTCCCTCTCTCTGCAGCAGAACATTATGGCCGTGCTGGTGCTGGTGCAGCTCACACTGCTGTAGTTCACATTGTAAAACACTCAGTGGTTGCTGTGGGGACATGATTTCACATGACATGATCTTCATTCACGCCGAAGCATATGGAGCGATCGGAAAATAGGTTTCCAACTACAGTTTTTGTAGAAATGATTTGTCTCATGTTCAATACTGTGAAAATGTATTTAAACTATAACTATTTTTCACATAAATGATACAAAACAAATTATTTTCTTTTCTGTTGATGATGTAATTAAATTCACATCAACTATTTTTAGACATGTTAGCTTAGCGCTGTCAATAAAATGAAGAGTTTATGTAGAAGTTTAAAGAAATGTCAACAATAACTTAGGAAACCATATTATGTAAGAGTATATAAGACACTCCTTAGAACATTTTTAAAAATGTAGTTAAAAAACGGCTTAATTTGCAAAAAAAAAAATATAATTATAAGAATGCTTTAAATGCTATGTTAGCCGAAATTGCTAAATATGCTAAAATATAAAAACAAATGCTTGGTTAGAAATCCAAAGCTAAAACCATGTTTGTAACAAAAAGCTAATGGTAAAGGTAGAATAATCTAAAACGCAAATAGGTAAATGAGTAAACACACAACAGCTGAAGGAAAAAAAGTTAGAAAATCCTAAGAAGTTATCATAAAGCTAACTAGTACTTAGCAAATCTGGTTAAAACAGTGGAAGCAAAAAATAAAAAATGCTAAATGTAATTTCAGAATAAAAATGACAGTAATACATTTGATAATTATAAAAAAATACACGGATAAAAAATCTTCTGGTAACTTTGCAGTATTTATCAACTTTGCATAAATTGCCATGTGTTTGTTTAAGACATTTTTTGAATGAAGAATCTGAAGAATTAGCTCAAGTACATCATTTAAAGATTGTTGGGTTTTGTTGCTGTATTGTCTTTCTCTCTCTGTCAGCCAGGCCCATTAGGGAGGCATCATAGGAAGTCTGTGATATAAATAGGCCTGTGTCCCATCAGTGCTTTTACACTGACTTCAGTCTGTGTCAGCGTCACATTTCACCGATGTCCTTCGCTGTGTTTACGACTATCGGCTCATGTCCTTCGCTGTGTTTACGACTATCGACTATCGATTATCGATAAGTTTTCTGAAAAAAATCAACAAATCGATCAAAGCCGTTTAAAATGAGGGAATAACGACTAAGCAATGATTTTTATGCTGTAATTACAGCCAGTAAAACACCTGTGTGCGTCTGTGCATTCACACATAAATCCTGACTAAATCCAATACAGCTGTAAAGCAGCTCTGCACGACGGCTGCGCACAGTGTTGCGATGTAAGAAACGGAGACGGCAAAATCAAAATTGAGTTTATTTTCTGAGAATATTTATCATTTCTGGTCTCTGAATACTGAATGTGTCATATGAGGCTGTGAAAAGAAAAGAAAAAAACCCCTGCAGTCTTAGTTTACACTGAGCGATCTGACGCAGCTCAATATGTCGTCTTCTCACCACACATGTTGAGTGCTCACACTTTCATTGCCATTACTGCAAATTACACCATCATTGAGGGTCAGGGTGCGAGGGCTGACTGCAGCGGCTGCTTCCTGGTGAAATGGAAGTGCTGGTTAATTATGAAACAGAGCGACGCTGCCTGATGTTTTAACATTTGGAGTCAACTGTCTCTGTGTTATAATCAGAGAAATAATTTATAAAAAAATCTTCTAGAAAGAGCATTTTAACATGCCTCA